TGTGTGTGTGTTTGTGTCTGACTGTGTGTGGGTGTGTGTGTGTGACTGTGTGTGTGTGTATGTGTCTGACTCTGTGTGTGTGTGTGTATGTGTGTGTCTGACTCTGTGTGTGTGTGTGTGTATGTGTCTGACTGTGTGTGTGTGTGTGTGTGTGTGTGTATTTAGAGGTGGGTGGGGGAAGGGTTAGCGGGTGGGGTGGGGAGGGGGTTGCCTGGGTTTGTCCTGCCTAGGGCGGCACAAAACCAGGATACCTCCCACCTAACAATATGTATTAGATTGGGTCTGCTTGTGGCGGGGCTTCCCGGCAGGTTTGTTTAGGGCTTTTCAAATGTTGTGGCTAGGGTGTCCTGTCCCGTCCCACCTGTGTCCAGGTGTACGAACCCTGGAAGGAATGTTCTTTTCTGTGGTTGGGGGAGCATGAGTAAGAGATATGTCCCGCGGGTGTGCGATGCTACTCATTTTTAACCCCTTCAGGACGGAGTCAATAACACAAGTTCTGATCAAAACAAAATGTAAACAAAAACTGGAATTTGCGCTATATGTCTGTTCACCCGTAGTTCACCTCTTTCATATTATATGCACCAACACTTATTAGATATCAGTTCGTTCAGGAGAAACAGGGCTTTAATTTCATATCAAATATTTGTATATGAAACATAATCTATTATGAATAAAATAAAAAAACTGAGAAATTTAATTATTTTTTAAAAAAATCTGTAGTTCTGCCTCACATTTTAGCTGTAAATGTCATAATACTGTTAGCTTTTACTGCAAAAAAAGCATATTTGGATTCAGCAAAGTCTCATGAGTACAACAGTAGCCCACATTAACCCCTTAAGGACCGAGGAGGGTTCAGGACCGTCATCGGCATTTTTGCGTTGCCGACCGATGACGGTCCTGAACCGTCCTAACGGTCAGAGCTACTTACCTGATCGCCGTCGTTCCCCCGGCGGCGATCAGCGTGGCTCCGGTTGTGGGGAGACTGCCTGCAGCCCAGACAGTCTCCCCACGGCAGATTAGGACCCCTGTGGCCATGTGATCGCTTAACACAGCGATCACATGTGACACAATGTCCATGTGTCTGCCTGCAGGGGGACTGTCTGTGCTGACAGGCAGTCTCCCTGCTAGTGTAAAATCAGTAAAAAAAATAAAGTTAATGTTAATAAAAAATAAATAAATAATTATATAGGTGTATATATGATATATAGACATATATTATATCTATATAATATATGTCTATATATCATATATATATAATGTCATACTAAGTGTATTTTTATATTAATATGTACTTATATTAATATAAAAATACACTTATAATTAAATTACACCTGCGTATATCTCATATATAATAACTATATATATTGTATATATATATTATTATAAAATAAATAATAAGTAATTTAAATTAAATAAATTTTTTTTAAATATGTAAAGGTAAAAAATTATATAGCTATATGAAATTTATTCTAACTGTGTTTAGAATTAATATATATATATATTTATATCAAAAGCCACACTTAGAATGAATTTGTATATATATATCTATGTATATAAAATAAATAAATAATAAGAAATATACATAAATCACATACGAATTACATAAATAATTATATAAAATACTTGCATTAGACTTCAAATATATAAATATGCATATATATTTAAATTCGTGCGTATTTATGTAATATTTTTACATAATTCGGTAATTTTATTGATTGCAATTTGAGGGACCTGCCTGCCAACCCAGGCCGAAATTCCAGAGAATTGAATTTGCTAGCACTGTATTTTACCCTGTAACGTTCTACGACAACCTAAAACCTGTACATGGGGGGTACTGTTTTACTCGGGAGACTTCGCTGAACACAAATATTAGTGATTCAAAACAGTAAAACATATCACAGCGATGATATTGTCAGTGAAAGCTACTTTTTTTGCATTTTTCACACACAAACAGCACTTTTACTGATGATATAATTGTTGTGATACGTTTTCCAGTTTTTAAACACTAATATTTGTGTTCAGCGAAGTCTCCTGAGTAAAACAGTACCCCCCATGTACAGGTTTTGTAGCATTTTTGAAAGTTACAAGGTCAAATATATGAGTCAAATATTTTCACATTGAAAATGGCCATGCCAGGTTAGTTCTACGTTGCCTTTGAGGCATTATGGTAGCCCAGGAATGAGAATTACCCCCATGATGGCGCGCAGTACAAAAGACAACCAAAGGTATTACAAATGGGGTATGTCCAGTCTTTTTTTTGTGGCTCCTTGGTCTAGTATAGCCAAAATTAAGCGTTCAATTTGGTTTTTTACTTTTTCACACACACAAACAAAGTGGTGCTTACTTTGGCCAGTGTTTTTCGACTAAGTGGCTACTAAAAAAGACTGGACATACCCCATATTGAATACCCTGGGTTGTCTACTTTAAAAAAAATATGTACATGTGGGGTGTTATTCAGAGATTTATGACAGATAATAGTGTTACAATGTCACTATTGATAAATTTTAAAATGTATGTTTTGAAACCGCAATATCCTACTTGTACCTATAGCCCTATAACATGCAAAAAAAAGCAAAAAAGCACGTAAACACTAGGTATTTTTAAACTCAGGGCAAAATTTTGAATCTATTTAGCAGTTTTTTCATTCGCTTTTGTAGATGAGTAAAAGATTTTTCAAGTAAAAGTCAAAAAACATGTATTTTTTTCAATTTTTCATCATATTTTTTTATTTTTTTTAAATTAAATACATGAGATTATATAAATAATGGTATGTAAAAGAAGCTTTGTCCTAAGAAAAAACGTATACTTTCATTTGTATGGGAACATTAAATGTAAGAGAAAGGAAGAATTCAGCCAAACACAAACACCACAAAAGTGTAAAAATATGCCTGGTCGCAAATGTACAACATCGCAAAAACAGTCCAGTCCTTAAGGGGTTAACAGTTTTTACAGTGTTTTGGAAAGTTAAAGGGTCAAATTTAGCCCATTCCATTTTTCATTTTTTTCACATTGAAATTTTCCAGATTAGTAATGTTACCTTTTGAGACGGTGTTGTAGCCCAGGAATGAGATTTACACCCATAATGGCATACCATTTGCAAAAGTAGACTACCCAAGGTATTGCAAGTGGGGTATGTTCAGTCTTTTGTAGTAGCCACTTAGTCACAAACACAGGGCAAAGTTAGCGTTCATATTTGTTTTTGTGTGAAAAAAGCAAAAACAAATATTTGGCCAGTGTTTGTGACTAAGTGGCTACTAAATGACTGGACATACCCCATTTGCAATACCTTGGGTTGTCTACTTTTGCAAATGGTATGCCATCATTGGGGTAATTCTTATTCCTGGGCTACCATACGGTCTCAGAAGGCAACATAACGAATCTGGCAAATTTCAATGTGAAAAAAAATGAAATGCAAGCCTTATATGTGACTCTCTAACTTTCCAAAACACCATAAAACCTGTACATGGGGGGGTACTGTTATACCTGGGAGGCTTCACTGAACACAAAAAACAGTAAAACATATTACAACAATAATATCGTCAGTAAAAGTGACGTTCGTGTGTGAAAAATGCAAAAAACTTCACTTTTACTAAAAATATCATTGTTGTAATACAAGTTACCATTTTGAAACACTAATATTTGTGTTCAGCTAAGTCTCCCAAGTAAAATGGTACCCCCCATGTACAGGTTTTATGGTGTCCTGGAAAGTTACAGGGTTAAATATAGTGCTTGCAATTCAAATTCTCTGCACTTTTTGCCTGGGTTGTCAGACATGTCAATCAAATTTTAACTAATTAAATCACATAAATATGTTAAAATATTACTTAAATATACATGTAGAATTTTAATATATATATACATATATATGTATTTAAAGTCTACGCATACACTTATGTAGTTATTAATGTAATTATATATATTTATCTGTATATATATATATTTGCTGTTGTTTGTATTTTATATATAGATAGATATATATAGAATGTAATTATATATATATATATATATATATTAATAACAAAATACAGTTAGAATGAAATTACATATGTACATATAATTTATTTACATTTTTTTTAAAAGATTTTATTTATTTTATTATTTATTATTGTAATTATACGTGTATATATAAATATAAAATATATATATGTATTTTATATATATATATATATCATATATATGTAACGTCATTCTAAGTGTATTTTAATACTAATATATGTACTTATATTAACATTAAAATACACTATGTATGACGTTACATATATATAAGATGTATATATATTATACATATATAATATATACACACATACATTTAATTTATTTTAAAACATGTTTAATATTTTTGTTTTTACACTACCCACCATTTGCCGTCGGAGGGCTGCCTGGGCTGTTAGGCAGTCCTCCCGAAGAGGATCGCAGTGGAGATAAGTAAATCTTACCTCCTGGGGGCTTCAGCCGTTACGGCGTTCTATACCGCCGCAGCGGCTTTAAAGCCCATTATAATGGGGACGGCATAGAACTATTTGTATATCAATTACGTGCCAATTTTATGGGCTCATTACCTTTCTCAGATCGAGATCTTTATTTCTGTAACAATGTCAATTACGTGTTAGCAGCTGTATAAGTAGCAGTTAAGTCTTTGGTACAATTGTGACGGTACAGATTGTATCAATGAGGGGAAATAATATCACTAGCAATATTGAGTGGGACGCTGATTGTAAGGAGAGTTTCTATCATAGATAAACATACATAGTGCTAGTCCCTGTCTTCTGCCTTCAAGGGCACCCCTTTTTCAAAAGCCTAATAACTTCTATGCTAAAAATAGACCTATTACACACCCGCTAATAGAGTGAGTTAATAGACAGTTGTTGCGAGTATAGATCTGATAAGTTATGTCTGAGAATACCCAAGTCTGATTACTATTAAGGTATATTTCACAGAGCCTCTGATGCGCGTTTCGCCTCATGACTCATCAGAGAGAACTTGGAAGTGACATCACAACGATGCAGCTCGATGCACGCAACTGGAAGTGTCATGTGATCCGGAAGAGAATCGGCGGGCGGGTGATCTGACTTTGGCAATCAATTCTGCATATAAAAGGAAGGATACTTCCATTGATAAGCATTGCACTGAAGAAGACTTTCAAGTCGAAACGCGTTTGCTGCACTGTTATTTTAGGATTTTATGACGGTAGTGTATATCATTGTTTTTACACACTGCTCATTTATATGTCCTGTTTTTAAAATATATCTTTTCAAATAATTACATTGGAATTATCCCTGTTTGCCTGCCAACCTGTAAACAACAATCCAAGCCAGTACTGGCACCTTGAAGCTGACAATATGGAGCCTGGCACGGCTCTACACTTATTTTACTACCTTGTACCCTTATCTACAGTGGGACAGTTTCTGTGTTATATACCGTAAAGTATATATATACACTTTTATCCTCTTGTTGACACTTGGGTGTTGTGTATATTTAAATAGTGGTTTATACTCTATTTTCTACTTGTCTAAGCTTTAAGGTGATAGGAAAAACACCTTTTTTACAAATACACCGAGTACTAAATAATTTTGGAAGCGCCTATACACCTACTGGTATACAGTATATATTCTTTTTAAAATTCCACTGGTTCTAACTCTAATTTTTCTTAACTGGGTACATTTTGCATTTATTCAATAGCTCACACTCCTACTCTATCTCGAATATAAAATTTGGATTAAACCATGTTTCCGATTACCCCAGCTTCATAACCCGCTCATTTTACTTCCCCTTTTGTGCTCTGAGATGTGATAACCAGCCCCACCTTAAAGTCTCCTGGCATAAAACCAAACTCCAACATCATTGCTTAGCATTACCTGGAGAGGAGAGGATTAGAAAGAATTCTAGTAAGTATTTCAGAAACTTACACCAAAACTGTGCTTTTAAATCAATGGGCAAAATACTCTAACTCAGGGGTGTCAAACATGCGGCCCCCCAGATGTTGCTGAACTACAACTCCCATGATTCCCTGGCTATCTGTTTCATTGAAAGAATCATTGTAGTTCTGCAACATCTGGGGGGCCGCATGTTTGACACCCCTGCGACTGATAACACGTCCTTTTAACACTGTCTTATTTCAAATGTCTTCACAACCAGCATATCTGTTTCCTTGTTTTTGTTTTTTTAAATTGTGATTGTTTTTTGCCAATTGGTATGTCACGCACTAAATAATTAATTGTTACCTTTATCTTTTCATTTTTTGACAGTATGATATATGTAGTTTCTTAAAATCCCTCTAGTTTGTTGTTTTTTTTTATCTCGAGAGACCAGTTTTTTCAGTTATAAAGCTTCTCTATCGCTTGATTAAGAAGTAGGGGAAAATATTTATATTTTAAGTTTTATAATTTTTAGAGTTTCAATGATCTTGTTCATAGTATAAATGTGTTTTATGTAATTTCTTTTTCCTTGCTAAGCTCCTATACCTTAGCTTCTTTTTTAACTTTTCTTTTTCTAATTTTCTATTATTACATTTACCTTCTTGTAGATATTATGCTTTCCCACTATTTTTAACATTTATATTTCTATCTTGCAAGTTAAAATATATCTAAATCAGTAATTGAATATTTTCAAGACTATTGTAAGCCGACTTGCTGTTTAATTTTTTTTTTTTTTTAACAATAAAATGACTGCTCTGAACCAATATATGAACCAATATATTTCAGTATTTAGAATTTTCACAATATACAATAAACTATAAACTCACACAAAGAGAAAGTTACATACAGGAGAACAAACATAACCACAGAACACATGTATAGAAACACTCAAGTACAGAAACACTTGCATAGTTATATACAGGGCCGGACTGGCCCACCGGGATACCGGGAAATTTCCCGGTGGGCCGCGGCACCTGGGGCTGGGCTGACAGCCCTAATCATTGCTCAGGCTCCTCAGGCCAGGTGGCCGACACAGCTCACATCATAAAAAAAAAGGAAATGTGGCGGGGGCGGAGTTACCGTGAGGCAGAGGCGGGGCTTAGCATGTGACGGGCGGAGCTTACTGTGCGGCGGGGGCCTGGCTAACTGCAGCATGGGAAGCAGGAAGGAGTCCCTGCTTCCCCAACAACCAGCCTCCAGGAGCTCCAAGCAGGAGGTAAGAAGGAGGTCAGTGTGTCTGTGTGTGACTGCCTGTGTGTGTGTGATTGTGTGTGTGTGTGTGTGTGTGTGGACTGTCTGTGTGTGTGACTGTCTGTGTGTGTGTGTGTGTCTGTCTGTGTGTGACTGTCTGTGTGTGTGTGACTGTCTGCCTGTGTGACCTGTCTGTGTGTGTGTGTGGGACTATCTGTGTGGTGTGTGCCTGTGTGTGACTGTCTCTGTGTGTGACTGTGTGTGACTGGTGTGTCTGTGTGGGCTGTCTGTGTGTGTGGGCTGTGTGTGTGTGTTGTGTTGGCTGTCTGTGGGCTGTGTGTGTGTGTGTGTGGGCTGTGTGGTGGTTTGACTGTCTGCCTGTGGGCTGTGTGTGTGTGGCTGTCTGCCTGTGTGTGTGGCTGTCTGCCTGTGTGTGTGTGACTGTCTGCCTGTGTGTGTGTGGCTGTCTGCCTGTCTGTGTGTGTGGATGTTTGCCTCGGTGTCAGTGACTGTCTGACTCTGTGTGTGTGTGCGCACCTGCTAGTGAGGGAGCCTCTGTGTGTGTGTGCGTGCCTGCTAGTGAGTTTGTGTGTGTGTGTGTGCCTGCTAGTGAGTGAGCTTGTATGTGTGTCAGTGAGCTTGTCTGTAGGGATCATATGTGTGTGTGTGTGTTAGTGAGCTTGTCTGTAAGGAGCATGGGTGTGTCGGAGCCTGTCTGTGGTCTGCATTTGTGTACAGTGAACTTGTCTGTAGTAAGCATGAGTGTGATTGTGAGCTTGTCTGTAGTGACCATATGTGTGTCAGTGAGCTTGTCTGTAGTGAGCATGTGTGTGTCAGTGAGCTTGTCTGTAGTGAATCTGTGTTAGTGAGCTCTTCTGTAGGGAGCATGTGTGTGTCAGTGGGCTTGTCTGTAGGGAGAGTGTGTGCGCATCAGTGAGCTTGTCTGTAGTGAGCGTGTGTGTGTGACAGTGAGCTTGTCTGTAGTAAGCTTGTGTGTGTATCAGAGTTTGTCTGTACTAAATTTGTGTGTGTGCCAGTAACCTTGTCTGTGTGTGTCATTGAGATTGTCTGTCAATGAGCCTATTTGTGTGCATCAGTAAGATTGTCTGTGTCTGTGTGTTAGTATGCTTTACTGTATAATTTAATTACCCTAAAAGAACTAATATTTTGAAGAAGAAGAAGAAATGTATCAATAATATATATATATATATATATATATATATATATATATATACTGTTGCATCACCAGGGCTCCAGTATCCAGGCAAACTTAACTTTTATTGAAATATTTAAGAGAAGATCAATGTTTCAGTAGTTCTTGTGGACTTTCGTCATGATCCTGATGCAAGTCCACAACAGGGACTGAAACGTTGATCTTCTCTTAAATATTTAAATAAAAGTTACATTTTAAGGAAATCCGAGAGTGCAGCCAACTATTTCAATTGCCTATATATATAACACCCTACATAGCACAATGACTTATGGGGCTGGCATAAATTTTTTTCCAGGGCTGCTTCGTATCCCCAGTCCGGCCCTGGTTATATATACACAATGATTACAAATACACAATTATACATGCACAAAATCATGTATAAATATGCACAATATTGTGCACTAATATATGCTTACTCATAAACATATGGAGACATACTTAATATCATACACAATGTTCAATACTTCCACTTGGCTAGGGAATATTCAGCCAGGTTAATAGAAAATCAACCGAGTTAAGTATAACATTGACCCTCCAGGTTAGGACTGACAAGTAACCTCCAGGTTAGGCCTGTCTATTAGACTAGAATTAGAATTTGTGCGCCCTGGTATAAATATATACTCACTCTCACAGACGTGCAGATGTAGGCACAGAAATATATTATTATATGGATACTGCAAACTGCCAAAGATGAAAGCTTAGAGGTTATAGCTCCAACAGCTAATCACAAAATCCCCTTAAGTCTAAATCCATATTACTCCACTGTAATACCTGATCATTTTCATGGGGTACATGATGTATCTCGTGTCATTGCTGTACCATGTGTTAAAATTATAGCACAAAACCAGACAAAAAGTAATGCGCACTATCCCAAATACCTACATACATTTAAATAACAGGTGTTTGTTTTTTTGTTGTTTTTTTTACCAATGGCCAATAAAGTGTAAGCTCACCTGCCCCATCATGGCAATTCTTACACTAACAATAGATAAAAAAGGTTAAAAATGAATAAAAAATGCTCCAATCACCTTGTGTGGGTCACCCAAACCACACAGAATTCAATACTTAAAAGTGAATAAACAAATGGGCGAGAGCACACAAAAACGTATGAAATGTCACAAACATGCAAGTTACCATAAAACAGGATAAAACCTGACCTGGGGGGCAGCCGCCGACTCGCAGCCACAGGTTTAAATTGACAGACACACCAACACACACTCTGAATGATAGACATACACTGACTGATTTGAATCACACTCACTGACAGAAACAAACTCACTAAGAGACACATACTCTCAATGACAGACACACAATCTCACTAATTTGAAAACACACTTACTGACAGACCCACACACTGACAAACAGACTCACTGACTGACACTGCACACTTTCAATGACAGACACACAGTCTCATTGATTTGACATAAACTCACTGACCAACACACTCACTAATAGACACACTGAATGACAGACACACACACACACACTGACAGCCCCACTCACTGACAGTAACACACACACTCTCAATGACAGATACAACATTTCACTGATTTGAAACACACTCACTGACAAATACATACACACACTCACTGACAGACACACACTCTAACTGATTTGAAAAACATGCACTGTCAGACACACTCACTGGCAGACACTGACAGACACATGCACACATACACTGACAGACACACTCACTGACAGGCACACTAACACACTGACATACACAAACAGTGACAGGCACACTCACACATTTACACAGTTTTGCATACCTACTCACAAATTAATTCCATTTCTTGTGGTTCTATTTTTTTTGGCCCATCCGGTCTCCCTACCTTTAGGAGATCTGGTGTGGGTCCTCTCCCTAGGGTCCAGTGGGGATCCAACAATCTTCCAGTTCCTCTGCTCTCTCACATGCTATTTAGTGATGCTGGGGCCAGAGTGATGTCATGTTTCGGCTGCCAGCAACATCCAAAGAGGGTGTGCAAGGGAGCAGTGGGGAACTGGAAGTACATCATTAGAGCTCCCTCATAACTGCTGCCGTATGCCTTCTCTCTCTCTCCCCATTTCCGACATATTTTAGCACGGTAGACACCTGCTGTTCAGGTAAGCAGGTGCCTACTCTACCTTAGTTAATAAGTGCCTGCTTTGGGGGTGGGGGGGCTAATGTAGTCAGTCTCCACCTCCTGGGCCTCATGCGACACCTCATTGGCCGCTCTGCATGGTACACCTTGCACCATCTGGTGCCTGGGCCCGGTGCTCCCTGTACAACTGACCAGGATTATGCTTCTGACCCTCTAAACACGTATTAAACCTTTGTAGGGTTTAAAACATAGCCTTTTGAATGCACCGCTGTCACAGCACAGTTGTTCATGATACCAGTATTTTAAAAGTCAACATTTCATGATTCATCAATTTCATTTCATGTTTCTAAAGGGAAACCTTTAATTCTACCAACATTATTTTAACATAATCTCATAAAAAGTAGAATGAATGTGGGTTGCATCACCCTAAAGAAGAGAGGTGCAGACAATGTTCTATACTGCAGGGGCCAATATGAATATAAGACATCTTTAAAAATGAAAATGGCCTGCAGGTAAGGTAGCAAGTTCATACATTAAATTGTACACATATTTCCCATGACTTTAAATAAAGTATGTGGCAGCAATATAACTATCGCTCAATAGAATTAACACTGCTATTCAATAATTTAATTGTAGACATTCACCTTTTTACTTAAACCCAGTGCCTCATCCATCAGGATTACTATTTAATGAAAGCCTTCACACAATTTCATTTCATACTCACTATTCAACTATTTTGCAATAGCTTTAACATCACCTCATGTTCTTCACATACGAGGCACAAGATAAAGAAAAGGTAATATTAAATTGTACATGGAGTACTTGTGATTCTATGCAGTTATAAGATGGATTTCCTTTAGAATTTGAAATAGCTTAAGAAACAATTTTTTACCACCACCCAAACTGGCTGTACCTATAGTCTCCTTAATCCCTATAATCACTTGCTTCTGATATCCCTTGAAATTAGATCTTTTTTTCTGTTAAAAATGTTAACATGAGAAAACATATGCAATGTTATTCCCTTACTCCCTCCCTCCTGCTTCACTATCACCTCATCACCTTATTTAAAAAAATATTTCCACCCTCCTTCTTCCTATGGGCATGCACTCTGAGCTGGCTAAATGGCCCAATCTCAAGGAGGCACGGAGAGCCATTTTGGGACCTGGATTTCAGGTAAGTTTTAACTTTATTTAATACTTACCTTTAAGCTAACGGGGGGACCTATAATTTAATGCCCAATAGGGCATTATACATTGAATAGACAGACATTTTAAAAAGGGTTGGCATAACCCTTTAAAGTAAGAGAAATTTGATAGAACAGGTTTTTAGAAATTGCTCCTTTTATCAAACCTACATCAGAAATAAATTAAAAACCTGGGAGAAATCACAGAAAAATTCACTGCAAACTGAAGAATGTCCATAATGTAAAATGTTTATTACAGAAAAACCTCACTGTAGTTGGATTGCCGAGGAAAAAAATAAAAATCTAAATATTTAATATTTTTAGATAACATTAGGAGAGAACAGGCTAGTTTTGTCTTGGGGGTCCGACAATAAACAAATAGTCGAATATGAGCCCAAACCAGCACATAGTCCTTCTCCTTTTCTTAACTTTTATACTAATAAGAACTAAGATACAATATTAATTAAAAAAAAAATACAGTTACATAATATATTTAAATATTGTGCACTGAGGGAAAAGTCCGTAATCTTCACTGTAGCCTGGAGATCAACTGCACTTCTAACCCATTATGGATGATTGGAGTCAGATGCTTAGCACCATGAAAGTTCATCTCTAAATTCTTTATCTAGGTTTGTTTTTAATGTTGCAGTTGTGGTTGAATATCATTTTTATATCCCCTCCTATAATGCATTTTGTTCTTTCATTTTTAGAATCCTTTCAGTACTGTGAAAGAAAATCAGATATGGCCGCACTCAATCTTACAACAGCTTCCAAAGAATTAATTACTGTTCAGCCGACTACTATAATTATACCATGGTTACACGATGGCACTGGTGCAGCATGTTTTATCATTTCTGTAGTGGGCTTCTTCGGGCTTATTATGTTCTTTCTCCTGATCATCAACCTATGCAATGACGAAGACACGAATATAGAATCTAAAGAGAGCCATCCAAAAAAAGAAGACTCCTCTAAATTATCTCCAAAAACGGTGCCTTGTTACAAGAATACTGCAGCATTCATAGAAACCAATAGGTCAAGAAAAGGCAGCGAAAATCACAAGAATACAGAACAGAGACAGAACAAAACTGCAACCACTACAAGCAATCAAAATGTTACAGTAGTCGTGTCAACAATATCTTAATTGCTGTGCATTTTTAAGAAGAGGACGCATGAACGTAAAATTACATTTTTTTTATTCCAGACTACTCAAGAATTTCGTTCAGGGGTTGTCTTAAAAGAACAATTTTAGGACAGAGTTCAGAGTTCTCTTTTTAATAGAGCCATGGACAGCGCAGAGAGACATTCTACTGTGTTCATGGGGATTGCTTTTTATCTAGTAGTTTGCACAAGAACAGCACAAATGTTTATTTGAGAATATATATTACTGATATGTATCATAAGCATATCTCAAGTTGGACTTTGATGAGGCATCATGTTTCAGGCTTCATACCACATTTCTACATAAACCCATATATACATAAACACTCTTCCATAAACATCTGGCTTCTAATATGATCTGATAATTCTACTAACTACTAAAAAATTCACTCAGGGGCTGTAGTATACATACTACCATGTCCTCCCACGCATTATCTTAGAGTTCCCACCCTCTGGCCACTGGTGGAGGTAGGGGCTAGACAGATTATCATCATTGAAATTAAACCATCACCAGAGGTCCAATGCCAGGTTCCTCACCCCTACTGACCCCTTCCCCATGTGATCGATCCTTTCTAGTGACTTGTCAGCAATATTAGGACAGTCACCATTATGATTAAAAGTGACCAGCTGCTGAATGCTTTAAAAGACATGCCCCCACCAGCAACATAGCAGGCGGGGACATAATGTAGGTTTTAAATCTCCCTATAGCAATAATGGGGGTTTTGAATTTGGTCCATATTTTCTCTATTTACACACCGATGCTATGTAATTAACCGAATCCTATAGTTTTGATAGGATTCACATGCAAAAAGCAATGAATTTAAAGTAGACATCAAATGCTCCCAGATTTGGTCAGGTTAACTGAATTCTTACCAATGCCGACTTTAGCAAATATGAGAATTTTTATGAGGAAAAATACATAATCCCACATATTCATTTTAATTATTTCATCTGCAACATCTTTTTACGGCAGAGCTTCCAATTTAACCAAAATGAAAACGTTCCCACGAATGATACCCTGGTCACACAGATGTGTTTTCATGAAAAAAGTTTCTGAACTATAAAAATAATAACAATAACAAAGTATTTAAGTAGGAAAGGTACATTCAGATTACTATGGTTTTTAAGTACGTGCTGGGGATGTTACCTTAGCCCAACATCCAGGGGTTGTTACTATTACACAGTTTAATGGTACTCATTTTATCTACCTCGGAAGGATGAAGGGTTGAGTCAACCCTGCTGGGATTGGAACCATAATGATGAAAACATTATTCAGTAATATGAAAAAATAAGCATACAGAGATCATTGAGGAAAAACAGCAAAATCACCCAATACTCTATCGATGCACTTTGCACCATATGCTTTGCAATAATGATAGCATATGGAGCTTAGAGAGTGAATCCTTAAAGGGACACTGTAGGCACTGTACCTACCTCATCTCATTGAACTGGTTATAATGTCTGGAATTAAATTTAAAAGTGTGTGAGTGAGTATACCTTAACACTACTTATAATAACACAGTGGTTGAGTTCCTTGAGCTTAACACATATGTAGAAGAAGAAATGATCAAGACGAAAACCATTTAAAAAATGTAAATGTCAATAGCTTAATTTTAAAAGAGTGGCCACTATCAACCATGAATCAGAAACATTCCCCACATTGTGTTTAGATGACTAAGAAGAAACTGCACAGAAGTGGAGCAGTACAAGATTAAAGCCAACATTATTAAAGAGAGACTTATAGAAAAGATGACGAAGAAGCACTAGACAAAAAACAACACTTATAGAGGTGACAGAGAGATCGCCCATATGGGAGAAGGAGGCAAAGTTCCAATCTGAAGTACAACAGCAAGTCATTATATAGCCCTTATCATTCTGGATTTTAATCGAGAAAATGTGCGATTGAAAAACAAAATCATAAAACCCTCAACTACTTCATTGGGACCTGCACAGAGCTGGAACAGACAGTGACCTTGACCAATGCCTGACTATAAGAGAGACCAAGTCCCAGAGCAATAATACATTGTATCCCTCGTTTCAGTGTGGGTACATTATATGATCTTTTTATTGCCTTTTATCTCGGTGATAATAATTTTCTGCTGTATGTTTTGTATTTGGCGCTACATGCTTATGCTGATTTTATTTTGGTTTTATATGTTTTTTATGCCTTAATAACCAGTTTGTTTTTACTATAATATTTACAGTGTGTGGTTTTTTTTTTTTATCTCCCCCCTCGACCCCCTCTTTTTTTTTTTGTGAGCCTATTTTTAATGTGAAAGCAGATTACCACAAGAACCTTCATTTAAACAGAAATGTTCCTGTCGGCTTATATATAAGCCTGGTCAATAATTGTATCCAAATTAGCTATGTATTTCCATAACGACAACTGATTTGCTGGCCTTGGGTTAATGATGGGTACTTTGGACCTCAATATTTTAAAGGAACACTTAAGGCACCATAATCGCATGCACTTTTTGAAATGGCTATGGTGCTAGTGTACCATTCCTTCATCCTTTGGTTTAACTAATTCATGAAACTAACAAATTAGGGCTTTAAAGCCCACTTCATATCAGCTTTAGAGGAAAGTTATTTTAAGTCTTGGAAGTTTTGCAATCTTTGCATTATACTCTGGTGGATTTATATTGTGTCTGCACTATTCCTATTAGACTGGCACAGCAAGAAACACTTCTCTTATTTCTTAATGCATGAGTGCGGTGCACCTATTTTATATCTTCTATTTGACGGATTTTAGGAATTGAAACACCCGCACCGGGGATTTGACTAACGTACATCTTCCTGATACATTGTTAAGACTATGGCTGTGGTTTAGAAAAACTTTGATTGACTCAGCTTTAATGTCCTGTCAATCAGAGAGACAATAATTACATCTCCAGGTTCTCAGCACTCATAGAGAAGTCACCTGGAGGGATTTGCAGGAGCTGTTCACAGGAAGAAAGCACTTGTAAGTCTAAAGACTATTCTTGTCTCTGTGATCATTGGTGATGGGCAAACAAAGCCAAGACATCGCATAGCCAAGGACAGCCTTTGGACTCTCTCCCCGGAAGCAGTGTCTACAAGCTCCTCCTCAGCAACAGTGATGCACCAACTAATTAGCGCAGGCTGTCAGGTGAGCCTGAAAGTGTAATTATCAGATCTCTGATTGACAGAGCTTCTAGAAGGAGCTACAAGCTCTACTTTAAAGCCCTATTTTGCAAATTACGTGCATTTTTGCCATCTTTGGTTTTTATTTCAGCTCAGCTAATGTGGCTAAAGTTATTAGTACCCTGTGATAGCATGAGCTGGCCCTCTAACTCTTTAATCCTCATAATGACACTCCACTGCCCGAATAAAATAATAAAAAAACTAAAAAAAAAAATATATATATATATATATGTATATATATATATATATATAAGTTTCAGTATATATACTCCCAATGAAAACATATGTGCATTTTTTTTTTCAATTTGACAATTTCTATTGTTTTACATTGTTATAAAACTTGGGGTACAGAAAAAAAAAGGGATATGGGGAAAAGAAAGGATCAAAAACAAAACGTTCCATGTCTTTTCAGGTTACATTACATGAATCATACATCCTACATCATACATCATACACGTGGTTCTGCTCTAGTCTCTGGGCGCTTGGGTGTAAGGTGGCCGGCTTAGTGCGGGCTATATTAAGTTTTGCCCTTTCTCATAAAGGTTCTCGTGGTCTTTAGGAGTTCCACCAGTGCTAATGTTACTGCGTGTTATGTGTCGTTACTTCTGAGTTTCCCATCTCCTAGCTCTTTGTTGATCGTTCTTTTCCTGTGCTCTCTTTGTACCCATTCATGGTCATCGACACACTGTTTGATATATCTTTTTTTCCTTTACCCTTGTACTCTTCCCACCTCTCACTAGCTAGGCCTATGTGTTTCCTTGGTCCAATGTGTTTATGTGCCATCGTTTCATATTGCCAGTTAATGGTTATTTGTTGTGTTAGGGCTTCCTTGGATGGAGTTTGTGGTGATTTCCACGCTCTAGCTATTATTGTTACTGCTGATATTAATAGGTGAAACAGCAGGGACTCCTCTGTTTTGGTCACTGCGAGTGGTATCATAAATAGTATGCATTGTTGTATGGTGAGTTGCCACTGCCTACCCAGTAGGTCACCTGCCATTTCCTCTACCATCTCCCAAAATTTCCTAATCTCCATGCACGTCCAGCATATGTGGCTCATAGAGCCTCTGGTTGCCCCACATCTCCAGCATGTATTTAGGGAATTTGTGTATATCCTGGCCAGGTGCTCGGGTACCATGTACCATCTATAGTGTAGCTTCCTAATTGTTTCGAGATGTGTTGGGCATCTTGTATTGCCTTTGTGTATTTTAAATGCTCTTTGCCAATGCTCTTTGTCTATGACTTGTCCCAGTTTTTTGTGCCAAGCAGTTTGGAATGTCATGTCTGGGTCTGTCTTGTCATCTGTGAGTATGTTGTAGATCGTGGAGATTGTTTTCTTAGGGGGTTTGTTAGTTAGGCATAATTGTTCTATTGAGTGTTTGTTGGGTGTCACCTGGTTATTTATTTGTACTCCTGTGAGCAGCGATTTCAGCTGTAGGTAGGAGGACAGAGCCTTGTTGGGGATGTCGTGCATCAGTTTGCCTTCGTGGCACATGTGTTTGATCCTAGTGCAGCCCGCCTCGTTCCATTTTTTTGTGTCAAATGTCGGGATCCCTACTGCTATGCACGAAATTGAGGCTTCCCTTGGAGGGTTCCTTGATTCCCTTCCAACTTGCGGGTTTCGTCCCAAAAGTGGAGTGTTAGTAGTGTGGTCATTAGGGGGTGTACATGTTGGGGCCGGAGTTGTTTCGGGAGCCACAGGAGCTCCCTGAGAGATGGGCTATTTGTCCAGTGAGCCTCTGTTTGGGTCCATTGTGGTGCCTCTCCTCCTGCTGTTGCTGCCTTGATTGCTGTCAATTGTGCTGCCCTATAATATGCTTGGATATTTGGCAGTCCCAGACCCCCGTTTATGGTTGGTATTTGTAGTGTTTTTGTGGCCACCCTTGGTCTCTTGTTGGCCCATATAAATCTGATTAGTGTTTTTTGGAATGAGGTCAGGTACGCGTTTGGCAGTTTTATGGGGAGGGTTCTCAGGAGATACTGGAGTTTCGTGAGCATCATCATTTTTATCGCCACGATCCTCCCCACCCATGACAGGTATTTCCCTTCCCATGTCCCCAGGGTGATTTTTGTTTCCTTCATGAGTCTTTCATAATTGAGGTCTAGTAGTTTTTCAGTGTGTGGTGGGATGCGGATGCCCAGGTAAGTTAAGTGGTCCTCTCGCCAGTCGAAGGGGAAGGTGTTTTTTATTCTATTGAGTGTTTCCCCTGGTATCCCCAATCCCATTGCTTGTGTCTTTGTGACATTTAATTTGTAGTAGGAGTGTTTCTTGTATTCCGTGATGGTGGCCATTAGGTTGGGGAGGGATATGTGGGGTTGTGTCAGGTTTAGAAGGATGTCGTCCGCGAATAAGCTCGCCTTGTATTCCCTGTCCCCTATTCTTACCCCGTGTATGGAGGAGTGCTGCCTAATCGCCGCCGACAAAGGCTCCAGGGCCGTGACGTACAGGAGTGGCGATAGCGGGCATCCCTGTCGGGAGCCGTTTAAAATTTTGAGGGGGTCCGAGATGAACCCTGCGTTGATGACCCTTGCTGTTGGTGCATTGTATAGAGCTCTGACCGCTGAGATAAAACCTTCCGGCACCTCAAACTTCAAGAGGACCTGCTCGAGAAACTTCCATCCCAGTCGGTCAAAGGCCTTTTTGGCGTCCAGTGACACCAACACTCCTCCCACTTTCAATCTTTGGACACTGTCCAAAACCTTCCTTGTGTTGTCACCTCCCTGCCTGTTCTTTATGAACCCCACTTGGTCTGTGTGTCTGACCTGTGTGAGCATTTTGCCAAGACGCAGTGCGTAGATCTTTGCCTAGTGCTTAACGTCAGTGTTGAGCAGGGATATTGGGCAAAAGTTTTGAGGGCATGTGGGTGGTTTGCCCGGTTTTGGGAGTGTGATGATGTGGGCCAGTAGGGATTCAGTGGGTAGCTGTTGTCGTGTAGTGGCTTCATTAAAAGCGTTGTCAGTTGTGGCGTTAGGATTGAGGCAAATTGCTTGTAGTAGCAGTTTGCGAAGCCATCTGGGCCTGGTGCTTTGCCCAATGGCAATAATTTGATGGCTTCTGCGACTTCTGCAACTGTTATGCTAGCCATGAGTTCCTGTGGTTGTTGGGGTGTGAATGTTGACAGGGATATGGAGTTCAGGTATGTCCGTATAGCTTGGGGGTTCGGTTGGGGTGTGTGTGCATCCTCGGCTAGGTTGTACAGTGAGGCGTAATATTGTGCAAATATGTTGCTTATGTCTTTAGGTGCTGTTATTTTGTGTCCCTTGGTTTATGTTAAATACGTTATTTTTTGTTGTGCTTGCTTGGTTTTGAGAAGTTGGGTTGTCAGTTTGCCTGCTTTGTTTCCCTGAGAATATTGGGTTGCTTTTAGTTTTTGCAGGTAGTATCCTGTTTTTTCTAGGGCTTGTTTATGTATGGCCTGTGTAATCGTCATAATGCGCAGTTTCAGTTCGTGGGACGGGGTTCGTTGATTTTGGGAGTTAAGGTCCTGCAGTTACCTTTGCCATTGTCGCATCTGTGTTTGTGCTTGTCGTTTTAGGAATGATGCCCGTTTTATCAGCAAACCCCTGGTTACCGATTTGTGTGCCTGCCATATTGTGTTGTGGGATGTATCCTCAGTGTTGTTTTCTGTGAAGTAGTAGGTGAATTCTGTTTCTAGTGTTTTTTTAAATGTATTGTCTGTGAGGAGTGATGCGTTGAGTCTCCATGGGCTTCTATGTGCGGAGTCGTATAAGTCTGTCATGGTCACCACCACTGGTGCATGGTCCGACCACGTTATCTGTTCAATGGAGCAGTCTTTGACCTGTTCCAGGTATTGGCCCGTAATCAGTATGCCATCGATTCATGAGTAGGTATTATGTACGGTGCATAGGAATGTATATCCCCGTTCCCCCGCATGTAGTGCACGCCATACGTCGTAGTGATGGTTGTCTTGCAGTAATTTTTGTAGTGCCCTGCCCTGTTTCTTGAGTGGTTTCAGTCTAGTGGTTGTGTGTGGGCCTGTGGTGTCCATCAGTGGGTCCAGTACGTGGTTAAAGTCCCAAACATATCACCCCTATTCCCTGGCGTATAGTCGACAGTTTTTTAAACACATTGTGGAAGAAGTTTCTTTGTTCCTTATTTGGGGCATAGACACTTGCAATCGTGTATAGAACGTCATTAATTGTCCCCACCACCATAGCGTATCTACGCTCTGTGTCTACCTCAGAGTGTATGAGGGTGAATGCCACATCTCTGCTGATGAGTATTGAGGCCCCTTTAGATTTGGTGGAGTATGTGGCGTGAAATTGGTGTGGGTAGTCTTGCTGAAACAGAGGTGAATGTGTTTTGGAGTTAAAGTGTGTCTCCTGGAGGCACACTACCTCAAGTTTGAGTTGGCTTAAATCTTTGCTAAGCAAGCCTCGCTTCACTGGGTGATTGAGCCCTTTAGTATTGTGAGAGTATATTTTCATGGGGGGTTGTACATTTGGGTTTCGAGTTGTGGTGGACCTGTAATATCTATTTGCAGGAGAGGCACCCTTCCCAGCATTAACGAACCGGGTGTCCACTTCCTGTTTCGGGCCTTGTGCGGGTGATAGCCCCCACTACGGGGGGGAACCTTGTGTGGCATGGTAGTGAGAGATTGTAAATGCATTAATTGTGTATAATGAAAAACATGGAGGTTAAACAGATGAACTAAAACATTTAAAACTAAATATTTTGCCATAGTATTGGCCTTGCGCCTTATGTAGGCACTGTGGGGTAGGAAGCAGTGTGCTTCCATGCCTGAACGCATTGGTCTTTTGGCCTAGTCGGGGTGTGTCAGTGGTGTTTGCACCCTCTTTTCGTGTCAGTTTAGAGAGTACCGATTTCTTGTTAAGGGGGGTCAGGTAGAGTGCCTCTGGGTCCCCGGTTTTACCCCGGTTGCGAATTGGGTTATAATAAAATTAGGGTGATGTCTATCACACTTTGTTCCCCTTGGCAGGAACCCTTTCCCCCCTCTAGTCAATGTCCCATTGTCTCTGTGAGATACTTGCCACTGTCCGTGGATGTGGGCCGCAGCCTTATTTGTTTCTGGTGACCTTCTTCCATGTTGGCGGTAGTTTGGCCCGTGCTGCGGCTTGGGATGGCATCCGCGGTGGTGGCAGGCCCCAATCTTTCAATGCTTGGATACCGGCTTCTGGGGTCGTGATGGTCGTCAATTTGCCTTCATGCATGACTAGTAGCTTGACTGGGAATCCCCATCTGTATGACTTCTTGTGTTGTCTCAGTTGCTCTGTAATTCCTGAGAAGGTTTTCCTTTTTTTCAGCGTTACTGCTGATATGTCCGCGTAGATTGTGATCCCCTGGTATGGTGTTGGGAGATTCGGGCGCTGCCTGTTTGCCCTCATGATGTCTTCCTTTACATGGAAATAATGTAGTCTTACTAGTGTATCCCGTGGCTCTTCTGCTGTTAGGAATCTCGGTTTGGGGACTCTGTGGTATCTGTCTAGCAGGAGCATGTCATGGTGTATGTCTGCAATGAGGATTTTAAACAGGCCTTGTAAGTACGCAAGTAGATCCGCCGTGCTGACTGTCTCTGCCACCCCTCTCAGATGCAGGTTATTCCGTCTTGAACGGTCTTCCATGTCCGCCAGCTTGTTTCCAAAGGTCTCTATTGTGTCCTGCATTTCATCCATTTCGGCTCGCATGACATTATAGACTTCAGCTTGGTCTGCCATTTTGTCTTCCAATGACAATGTGCGCGTACCCAGATCTCGTATTTCAGATTTGATTTCGTTTAGTGATGTTTGAAGGGTGAGTTGCAGCTTTTGGTGCATGTCATCCAGCATTCTTTGTATTATGTTTTGGGTTGCTGGGGTATCTCCAGCAGTTGGTCCTTGTATGTCAGTTTGTCCGCCATGGGCGCCATCTTGGGGCTCCTCTGATCTCGCCATCATTTTCCCCTGGGCATTCCGGACAGTAAAAAAGTTGTTTTTTTCGGTCTGTCTTCGTCCCTTGTGTTGGGACATTGTTGCTGGGGCCGTGGTAACACGGAGCTACACTGACATGCTGCTGCTGTGCTCGAGCTCCAGGCCATGCCCCCAACATGTGTGCATTTAAATATGCATTTTTTATAACTAAAACACCTTGCAAAAGCTGCAGTTCTCTTGTGCTATGCAACCCTTCCTCTTTTCCCCTCGCCCTTCCTCTTTGGCTGTCCAATCACATCCTTCCTAATGCAGCTCAATGAGACGCAAGGCAGGTGGCTCTGGGCTATTGCTGCCTCTTGAGTTTTGCTCCACTGAGTTAAACAAATAGAAAGTAAAGGGCTGGTTGTATGATTGACAGCCGAAGGGTGTAACAAGGTAAATTTTTAATGAAATGCGCACTTTTGTTAAATGAAAAAAGAAGACACTCTCTGCACACATAAAGCACTTCAGCAAGCTAAAATTCTTCTAGGGGTCTGTAATGTCCCTTTCATTTTGTAACACAATGGAATTATCTTGAATCAGTATGGTTCAAACATTCTAGGTTCTACTAGACAATGTTATCTGGTTGATTGACGATGTCTAAACTCACCCATTATTTATTGGGTTAATAATTATCGTCCCTTGATACATGGACCACACAGAATATATGGATGGATGTTCTAACAAACAGACAGAAACGTCCCGTGTCAAATACTGAATCTGTCAAATGTGTAGTACAAGACAATCCAATCTAACTGTATCTCTGTTCTACCAAGACTATAAAGGCACCATCAAATAATTATTAGGGATTGTTTTTGTACATTATTTGTTTTGTTGAATTCTTCCTCGTTCTATCTACTTAGATATGTCTTTGTTCTTGAGGTGGTTAATTACCAATCCTCCCCAGCAAATTAATAATCCACCTATTTTTGCATATTATATTTATAATGTACCTGCTACGGTGTATTATGTAAATTGCTCAAAGTTTAGAATGTTTAAGCTCTAAGCTCCCCCCATTTTACTTCCCCATTTGTGCTTTGAGATTGCCCCACCTTGAAGCCTCCTGGCAAAAAAAACATACTCCAACTGAATTGCTTAGCATTACATGAATTTGGAGAGGAGAGAATGAGAAGGAATTATAGTAAGAATGTCGGAAACATACACCAAAACTGTGCTTTTTAAATCAATGGGCAAAATACTCTCACAGGTAACAAGTTCAAGGTTTTATCACTGTCTTATCTCAAATGTCTTCCCAACCAGGGTATCTGCTACTCTGTTTGTTTGTTTTTTTGTTTGTTTTTGTTAATCAGTATCTTATGGACTGTATAATTCTTTGTTACCTTTATCTTTTGATAATTACACTGTAATGACATAAATTGAGATTTTATTTTTTAAGTAAAAAAAAATATCTCTATCATCTATATTCTTTTCATTTGATTAAGAAATAGGGGTAGACATTTATATTTTATAATTTTTAGATTTTCAATGCTCTCGTTCATAAAATAAATTATTTTCATGTAATTTCTTTTGCCTTGCTCATCTCGTATAACCTATTTCTGATTTAAATTTTCTTCTAATTTTCTGCTATTACAATTACCTTCTTGTATATCTTATGCTTCCATTGTAAGCCAACTTGCTGTTGTTTTTTTTACCAATAAAATGACTGCACTGAATCAATATATTTCAATAAATCAGTATTTAGATTCTTCACAATTTATAATAAAGGTTATACTCACATATGCAAAGATGTACATACACACAATGAGAGAATATTACATACAAGACAACAAACAAAAACAGACAACACACGAATAGAAACACTCACGTACAGAAGCACTTGCTAGTTACATACAATTATAAATAATGCAAAAATGCAAAACACATGCCCATGCAGATATACACAAAAACATGTATAAATAGTCATAGGTGCAAAATTACACAAGCACACGCCAATATGTATGCAGATATAGACAATATTGTTCACTAATTTACTCTCACTAACAAACATATGCAGACATTCACAATATCATACACAGGGTTAAAAAATGTACTTGCCTACTAGCCATTGGCTAGTGACAATTCATCCTGTTGAGTGTAATATTGACCCTCCAGGTTAGGACTGACAAGTCATTTCTAGGCCTGTCTAGTAAAACAGTACTTGAAATTTTGCACCGTGATACACACATATACGCACTCTCACATATATGTGTAGATGTTGCACATTCACAGATATACATTATTATATGGATATTGTAAACTGTCAATGATGATAGCTTAGAGGTTATAGCTCCAACAGCTACATCTCATAATATCAAATCCAAATGCTGGCAAGGTCATCTCAGATGTTCCTTCTTCCGATAAAAATAAGTATCAATACTTTGGATATTAGGATTTAGACCACAGGATGGATTTCAAAAGTAATACAAAAGTCCTTTTATTATTTCATAATTAAATTACACTCTTAGGGGTTAAGGGATGTAGGATTAGGGGTACCTGCTTTTAAGATAATTTTGATGTATAGCATCTTTGTTTCCCAGCCAGGCAAAGCCTTAATCAAAAATCCCTTTACTGTAAACCCAGATACCTCCACTGTAATAAGGGATCGCTCCATGGTGTGCATTGCTGTATCTTGTGTCATTACTGTAACATGTACAGCAGTGTATGTTGTGTTGAAATGATAGTACAAAACCAAAAGAAAAACAAAAACATGGGCAGTACACCAAATACCTATGCACATTTAAATAACAGGTGGTTTTTGTAGTGTAAGCTCACCTGCCCCATCAAGGCAAATCCTACACCAGGGATAGGCAACCTTCAGCACTCCAGATGTTGTGTACTACATCCCCCATAATGCTGTTACACCCAAAATGCTGGCAAAGCATCATGGGTGGTGTAGTCAGCGCCGGCCCTACCCATGCTGCAGCCGCCCGAGAAGAAGAAATTGGTAGGGGAGGAGGGAGAAGAAGAAATTGACAGGGGGGAGAAGAAGAAATTGGTGGGGGGAGAAGAAATTGACGGGGGTGAGAGTGACAGGGGAGGGAGGGGCAATGAGAGTGAGAAGGGAGAGGGGAGAAGAGAGTGACAAGGGAGAGGGGGAGAAGAGAGTGACAAGGGAGGGGGGAGAGATTGACATCCATCACACACACATGCAATGCACCCCTTGCACACAAAAAAACACACAATGCATTACACACACACACACACACACACAAACAATGCAACCCTTACACACAATACATCCCTTACACACACAGAAACACACAATGCACCCCTTACACACACTCAATGCACCCCTTACACACGCACAGACTGCATCCTGTACATACACAGAAACACACCTTGCAGCCCTTACACATACAAACACAGATTCACACAATGCATTCCTTACACACATATCAGGACATCCCCTACACACTCCACCCCCTGTGAACAAACTCATTGGTGGAACATGAAGGTGGACCCTGGGACCCAGACCTTGAGCTGTGTAAAGGGCCCCCAAAAAATGGAGCTGCTTCCCGTTCTCCCAGAACATTGATTTTTGTGACCACAGTTACAAACCGCCTCCAGAGAGCCTGTTCTACACCAGACCAGTGGAGCCAGACTGCAGCTAGAGCCCATCATCATCCTCATCTGGTTGTAAGTAGGCAATCAAGTATATTATTCGTGGCACTAATCTCTAATTTACCTCACATTAAAGAAACACTATAGTCCCCAGAACCACTGCAGCTTAATGTAGTTGTTCTGGTGTTTATAGCCTGTCCCTGCATGCCTTATAATGTAAACACGGCGGCACTGCAGCACTGGCGTTAGTTAACATGGCAGATCATATGGGTGGAGCATTGTGATGTCACATGGGGGGGGGGGGCTGCAAACTTGCACCGGCCCTGGGTGTAGTCCAAAACATCTGAAGTGCCAAAGGTTGCCTATGCCTGTCCTACACTAACAATTCACCTCGCTGTTTTTGGACAAAAGGTAAAATCTCTAATGAGACCCAAAGGGGTATTCTTATGTCCCCCTAAACACTTTTTAACCCTTTGTAGGACAAACAGGAGGTGGACACACTGTAAAATGGCTGTGTAATTGTGCGTTTTTAACTTGTGTGTTTGTATTGCAACCGTGGTGATCAAAACAGAAATATAAAAATGATGTAGCCTTTTCAATGCAACACCATCACAGCACAATGATAATTATTCCAGTATTTTAAAAGTCACCATTTTAATTCCATCAATGAAATGAATCCTTTTATTCTATTGACATTGTTATTTTAAGTTAACCTCATAAAAAAACACACAATGAATGTTGAAATGTCATCCAGAAGAAGAGAGGTGCGGATAATGTTGTATAACAACAGCACTGCAGGGGTTAATATGAACATATGATGTCATGTATCACCAAAATGTGCATTGCCTGCAGGTAAGGTAGCAAGTTTATACATTAAACTGTACACATATATTTACGTTCACTTCAAATAAAGTATGTGGCAGCTATTTAACTATTGCTCAATAGAATGATCACTGCTATGTAATCCTATAATTCTAGACATGTGCTTTATTTAAAATCACTGCCCCATCTGTAAAGATTATTATTTAATGACAGCCTTCACGTAATTTCATTTCATGCTGTGTGAAGAGTGTTTGACACTTTTATAAAATTAATCTGGTAACACCCACTCATCTTTCAAACTAACAACAGGTCCTGCTACTTCCTGGTTTGCTTAGCTCAGTTGAGCTCAGTGGCTGGATCAATCAACGGGGCAATTGCCCCCCCCCCCCGAGAAATCCGACGGTCTCCCTCTCCCCTGCCAGCACATGCAGGTGCTAGCCCTGCAATGTGCCTGCGGACCGGAGGGGAGATTACAGATCTCCCCCGCCTCGGTCCGCAGGCACTGTGCTGACAGCAGGCGGGGGGAGGGAGTGAGAGAGAGGACCCGGGAGCTCAGGCTGCAGCTCCTCCGGGTCCTCCTCTAGCGAGATTTGGAGAGTTGCCGCGGTTACCACGGCAACGCTCCAAATCTCACGAGAGTGAACTCTAGCCCTGGAGCGCGGGCTAGAGTTCACTCTCCACACTGGACCACCAGGGATTCCCACTGGGACCACCAGGGATCCAGAAATGTCCCTCCTCCACCTCAATAAAGGTAAGAAGGGAGGGGGCACATAGAATATTTATTTTAATTAAATCAAAAATAAATACATATATTATTTAAAAAAAGCCCCCCTACCCTTATCACACACTCCATACACATACACCCCCCATACACACATACTGCCCCCCATACACACACACACACCTGCCCCCCATACACACATACTGCCCCCATACACACACACATGCACACACACTGCCCCCCATGCATGCCACACTGCCCCCCATGCACACACACTGCCCCCACACACACACATTGCCCCCATACACACATTGCCCCCCCATACACACACATTGCCCCCATACACACATACGCCTCCATACACACACAGCTAATGCCCCCATACACACACTCACTATACACACACTGCCCCCCATACACACACACTGCCCCCCATACACACACACACTGCCCCCATACACACACATTGCCCACACTCACACATACACTGCAATACTCACACACACACAAACTGTCCCACACATACACTGCATCCCTGACATACACTGCCGCCCTCACTCACATACTACAACCTTCACACACACACATTGCTCACACACTGTCCCCCTCACACACACACACACACACACATACTCCACCCCTTACACATTGCACCACTCACACACACCACTGCTCCTATGCCCTACTACAGCCCCATTTCCCAGCAGACCTCAGGAAAGTTGTCAAACTGTTCTTAAACGGTTTGACTACTTACTCTGGGAGGGGGTCCCGGCACTGTTGACACCATAACCACTACACTGAGCTGTAGTGGTTATTGTGTCTGGATTATTTATTTAAATAATCTACAAGTGCCCCTCCTGAGATCAGGCTCTGGATCCGCCACTGGTTGAGCTAAACTTAAGAGGCAGCAATTGCCTAGAGAACCTGGCTTGCAAACACATCTCATTGAGCTGCATTGGGAAGTCTATGATTGGACAGCTGGGGAAGTCTTGACAAGGTTAGAAGGGGAGGGCTGGCAGAGCCAGCAAACCATAAATCTGCAGCTTTTGCAAACTGTTTTTAGATATAACTCAAATGCAAAAAGACATAATTAAATACATGCAAGTTTTTATTGGGGATGTATCTAAACTAAACAGTAAATGTTATTTATTTTGTATTTGGGCAGTGGAGTATCCCTTTAACATCACCTGATGTTCTTCACATACCACGAACAAGATGAAAATCTTGTAATTCTATGTAGAGTTATGAGATGGATTTCCTTTAGAAGTTTTTTTTTAACCATAATCCAGAGGGGCTGTACCTATAGTCTCCTTACTTGCACTAGTGAAAAGTTTAATCAGTTTCCTGCTCTAATCTGTACCTCTCTCGATCCTCCCTCCCATTCCCAGCTTAGAACATGCGCTCACGCACATGCTCTGGAGTTAGGTACTAAGCACCATGAAAGTTAATCTCTAAACACTTTATCTAGATTTATTTTAAATGTTGCAAATGTGGCTGAATATCCTATATATTTTCTCTCCAATAATACATTTTGTTCTTTCATTTTTAGAATCCTTTCAGTACTGTAAAAGGAAGTCAGATATGGCCGCACTCAATCTTACAGCAGCTTCTGAGGAATTAATTACTGTTCAGCCATCTACTATACCTATACCAGGGTCAAATGATGGCGCTGGTGCAGCATGGTATATCATTATGGTAGTGGGCTTCTTCAGGCTTATTAAGTTCTTTCACCTGATCAGCAACCTGTGCTATGATGATATGAATGAAGAACTGGATACAGAATTTAATGAGAAAAACAAAGACTTCTCTAAATTAACACCAAAAACTGTGCCTTTTTATGAGAATGCTGATGCATTCATAAAAAACAGTAATTCCACAAAAGGCCATGAAAATCACAGTTACACAGACCAGGGACAGAACAAAACTGCACCTACCACTACAACCAAACAAAATGTTACAGTAGTCGTGGCAACAATAACTTAATTTCTGGGTATTTCATATGGAGGCTGTCTAAAAGAACAATTTTAGGACAGAGTTCAAAATCAAAGACAGGAACATTCTGTGGTGATAGCTACACATTTAAAACCTTGATCAAGATTTGCTTTCTCTTTTTAAAAGAGCCATTCCTAACACTAACGTTTTCCTCAGCCACCTTAGCACCCACGACCCCGCTCCCCTCATTCTGAAGGGATAAATAACCATTATTCACTTATAAGAAGAGAGGATAGTCTTCAGTTAATCTAGTGAAGAATTACAGGCAAACTATGAGTTTGTTTTCAGTAAGTGCTTGCTCTAAGATCCATCCTATTTTTTTAAATAAATAATAAAAATATAATTAAAAAAAATATATATGTAATTTTATTCTAACAGTATTTTGATATTAATATACATATATTTATATCAAAATACACTTAGAATGAAATTATATATATCCATATACAAAATTACATAAATAATTTCATAAATATACACGTAGACTTCAAATAAATAAATATGTATGTATGTATATTTAAATTCTACGTGCATATTTATGAAATATTTTTACATAATTCAGTAATTTTATTGATTGCAATTTGAGGGAGCTGCCTGACAACCCAGGCTGAAAGTCCAGAGAATTCAATTTGGTAGCACTGTGTTTAACCCTTTGACTGTGACTTTCTATGACACCCTAAAACCTGTACATGGGGCTACTGTTTTACTCGGGAGACTTCGCTGAACAGACATATTAGTGTTTCAACAGTAAAACATATCACAGCGATGATATTGTTAGTGAAAGTGACATTTTTTGCATTTTTCATACACAAACAGCACTTTCACTGATGATATTATTATTGTAATACGTTTTACTGTTTTGAAATACTAATATTTGTGTTCAGCAAAGTCTTCAGAGTATAACAGTACCCCCTACGTACAGGTTTTATAGTGTTTTTGAAAGTTACAGGGCCAAATATAAGGCTTGCTTTTCCATTTTTTTTTTTTTTACATTGAAATTTGCCAGGTTGGTTATGTTGCCTTTGAGAGCGTATGGTAGCCCAGGAATGAGAATTACCCCCATGATGGCATTCCATTTGCAAAAGAGGACAACCCAAGGTATTGCAAATGGGGTATGTTCAGTCTTTTTTAGTAGCCACTTAGTCACAAACACTGGTCAAAGTTAGCGTTCATAATTGTTTTTTGCATTTTTAACACACAAATATAAATGCTAACTTTGGCCAGTGTTTGTGACTAAGTGGCTACTAAAAAAGACTGGGCATATCCCATATTGAATACCATGGGTTGTGTACTTTAAAAAAATATGTACATGTGAGGTGTGATTCAGAGATTTATGACAGTGTTACAATGTCACTATTAATGAATTTTAAAAAAATATATATTTTGAAACCGCAATTTCCTACTTGTAATTATAGCCCTATAACTTGCACAAAAAAAAAAAAAGCAAAAAAGCATGTAAAAACTGGGTGTTTGTAAACGCAGGACAACATTTTGAATCTATTTAGCAGTTTTTTTCATTAGCTTTTGTAGATAAGTAAAAGATTTTTCAAGTAAAAGTCCAAAAACACATTTTTATTTAAAATTTTCACCATATTTGAATATTTTTTTTAAAGTAAATTATATGACATGATACAAACAATGGTATGTAAAGAAAGCCCTTCTTGTCCTGAACAATAAATAATTTGTATGGGAACAGTAAATGAGAGAGCGGAAAATTACAGCTAAACACAAACACCACAAAAGTGCTAAAATAGCACTGGTCCTTAACGTACAACATGGCCAAAACAGTCCGGTCCTTAAGGGGTTAATGCAAAATACAAAAATGGTTCTAAAAATAACCTATGCTGACCCCAACATCCTACTCCTGGATGGTGAGAGGTGTCAAAGCAGGCGGCCACCTAACCCTATTGACCCACCCTGTACAATAAGCAATGTGCCTCTTCCACCTTATTTCCATGTTTCTCATATGTAATGGTGGCAGTGCAGGTGACAAAAGAGCACAATTGTGGCTGGTGAAAAAACTCATGGCCAGTATACTCTGGGCCCCAATATATACATTCTATGGTTCGCAATAAAATCTGCTTATCTGCTGGTGTTTAACGCTGCAGTCTCGATTCAGTTCTTGGTGTATTGGTTTCAGACTGTCTAACAGGAAAGAGCTATAATAAAAAATAAAAAAAACAGCTGTCACTAACAAAGAGCTATCGTTATTAACAAACAGATACATATATCTACCAAACTGCTACATCCTCAGACAGGTTGCATAAGATGCAGTCATCATTGCTGTTCCATGAATGAGGCATTACAACCTAGTCAGGACTCTACCTCCTAGTAATGCAAAAGGTATCCAGACCAGGGACTGACTAGACCTGCCTCACTAGTCTGGTAGTAAGTCAGCAAGCCCAAAGTATGCACCTGTACTGATATGTTGGTTTTACATGTTAGAACTTTTTACTTTCCAAAACATTTTATAAAGAGTGGCACTCTCTGATTTGAAATGATTTAATGGTCACCACAACTGTTCAATGTTTTCCATGTATTGGCTGTAAAACTCAGAGGTGGTGTTCTCACATTTAAAGTTATAATTGTATCCAGCTAAGGGGCATGCTCATTGGTGGAACCAGGGCCGATCCTTGGGTCACTGACGCCTGGGTGCAAAAATATTTTACGGTGGGTGTGGCTATATTGCAAACCCCTCCACGTCACAAACATAACACCTTTTAACCACACCCATTTCCTATGGAGACCACTCCAACTCTTTGGGACCCCCAACTATACAGGATAGCATGTCACCCACTTTCTACAATGACAACTTTGCCCCCAAAACTCATCAGTGCTATCTTTGTGCCTAGCTACCTAGCACCATCTCTATCCCTATACAGCTACCCATTGCCACCTATGTCCCAAAATAGCTAATGAGTGCCATCTTTGTCTCAACATAACTAATCAGTGCCATATTTGTGCCCATATAACTTATCAGTGCCAGGGCAGATCTAGAACCTTATCTCAGGAGGGGCACTGGTAGTGGGCTGATAGGGGCTGTAGTGGGTGGCTAAGGGCTGTAGTGGAGGTTATATGCTGGGGTTTAAAAATCTTTTGGGGGGATAGGGACTGTAGTAGGGGGGATAGGAGCTGAATTGGGAGATGGCTGCAATTGGAGAAAGGGGCTGTAGTGTAGGGTTAAATTGGGGGAGAGGAGATGTAATGGGGGGTAGGGGTGTAAAAGGGGATATAGGGGCTGTAGTGTGGGGAAATGGGCTGTAGTGGGAGGGCTAGAGGCTAGAGTAGGGGGATAGGGGCTGCATTTGGAGACTGTAGTAATGGGGTTGGGGGCCGTAATATGGATAGGGGCTGCAGTGGGGAAATAGGAGCTACTATTGGGTTAAAGGGCTTTTAGGGGCTGTAGTAGTATATAGGGGCATCAATTGGGGGGTTAGGGGCTGAAGTAGGTATATGGGCAGTAATTTCAGGGTTAGGGTAGGGCTTGACAAATTTGCTTGGAATCTAAGAAAGCTAAAAAAGTTAGGAGCCAGATATTTGTAGTGGTTCTGGTGTCTATATAAAAAGCAGCACATTGATTGTTGCTATTTACTACTTGTATTGCAATTCTTAATTTTCTTATACTACTCCATTGGTTACTTTGGTTAGGGTAAGTGCATACCTTTTTATACATATTATCCGTTATTGGGTTCCACCCCCTCATAACCAGGAGTTTGTTTATTACTATTTTTTATAAATAAATATCCTTTTTTACTACGGAATTTTCTCCATTCATTATCCGGAATCCTGTTAGCCTGAATTGGCACCTGTGAGCCTGTTATACAGAGCCAGGTACGGCTCTGGTAAATGTGAGTGGTTGTCCATCTTTTATTTCTACATACATTTGTAATATACAGTATACACTATGTTATGTTCTGTATTTATATTTTGTAGATAACACTCTGCCATTTTTCAACGTACAGGTTGTATTTTATGGTTGTTCTTCACCACTTCACTTGTTTTTGGGCTGATTCTATTTTATGTGGTTTTGATATACATTTCTTTTCTTTTTATATTTACTCTTACCTAGTGTCTGGGAAACACTGTTGTATCAACCACTTTTATTATATTTCCAATTTTGTGAAGCGCCTACCCACTATCTCTTATTTTCTTTGTTCTGGTGTCTATAGCTATCCCTCCTCTGTGAGCTGCGAGAAGGTTGGGGCAATGAGTGGAGCCTTCTCACAGGGGGCCCAAGAGGTGGCCATCTGGCTACCTTAGGGCACCCCGAATCTGCGCTTATCCAGTGAGGCAGAGTAGACACCTACTTACCTGAACGGGAGACACCTACTCTGCCGATATATACCAGAAGGCGGTGTGAGGACAGGATGCAGGTGGAATTCGGCTGTGGCGAGGGAGGCTGACAGTGTGGATGTGTGTGTGATTGTCAGTGTGTCTGTCTGTCTGCCTGTCTGTGTGTGCCTGTCGGTATGTGTGTGTCACAAATGTGGGTGGTGGGAGAAAAACATGGAGGGGTTGGGGTAAGAAACATGGAGGGTTTGGGAGAAACACATGGACAGGTTTTTGTGGGGGAGAAACATGGAGGGGTTGGGGTGTGGGGGAGATAATTGGGGCACAGCAGAAACACATGGGTGGGTTGGAGAGACACATGGAGGGGTTAGGTGGTGAGACATGTGGAGGGGCTGAGGGGGAGAATGAGACACGTGAAGGGGCTGGGGGGCATGAGATGTGTGAAGAGGCTGGTGGCTGAGGGGGAATGAGACACATGGGAGTCCCCAGTGCAGTTTTCACACTGGGGCCCCAGCGGTTTCTAGTTACGACTCTGCCTTCAGGCTTTTCAATGTAAACACTGCCATTTCAGAGAAAAGGCAGTGTTTATATTGCTGCCTAGTAACACCTCTGGTGGCCATCACTCAGAGGTGTTGCAGCACGTACGTTCAGCCTCTCCACGCTCTGCATAGAGGTGCAGAATGTTCCCCATAGAGATGCATTGATTCAGAAGCCTCCCAAAGCTTTTCTATGGGGGAAAAAAGTGTAGAAATGTCACTTTTCCCATACAATCAAAAGGGGCTAGTCACCTTAACAGACACACACAACCTGACAGACACACAGACACTCAGAAATTATATTTAAAAAAATGTTTCATTGAAATCCACCCAGCCTCCCCATTTTTGGGAGACCTGGACTGAATTGGCTTTTCCTGGTGTCCATTGGGGCTGCAGTCATGTTCTTGCTCTGCTCCCTCTTGTGCACTGTTTAGTATGCCGGGGCCAGAATGACATCATATTCCATCTTCCAGCACCACGGCAGCGTGCGCGAGGGAGGAGAGATCCAGAAAGAGGGGACGGATCCTGTTCCTTGGTGATCCCAGGTGCCTTGTGAGCAAATAATTTATATTGATGACATATCTTGTATTGAACAAAATTGGGGATTATGACCAAATAGTTCACAAATTGAAACTGAACTTTGAGATTAAAGAGCTAGGGAACACCAGTCACTACCTTTGAATTCAAATAGAGAGAGAAGAAAATGGAAGCTATAGTCTTAACCAAAGAAAACCAATTACAGAAATATTAAAACTGTTTCACATGCAAGATGCGAAAAAAGTGAAAACACCAATGGAACCTGATTATCAGAAACAAATGGAACTGAAAACTGGCTACCCAACAATGATAATTACCGCAAGCCAATCGGAGAATTGCTATACATTCCTACAGACATTGCGGCAGCAGTGGGCATACTTTACAGAAAAGTTGCATAACCTTGTCAACGTGATTGGAACAGTAAAGAGGGTGATACAGTACCTAAAGGGAACATCTCGAATGAAGCTGCAACTGCCAGCAACATCAAACCCAAAATCAATCGGATATGTAGATGCTGATTGGGCTGGAGACACCACTGACTGCAAATCTTCATGTGGTTACATCTTCCAGCCAGTGGCGGATCCAGAGCCTGACCTCGGGAGGGGCACTTGCAGATTATTTAGAGAAATAATCCAGACACAATACCCACTACAGCTCAGTGTAGTGGTTATGGTGCCAGTAGTGCCGGGACCCCCTCCCAGACTAAGTAGTCAAACCTTTTAAAAACAGTTTGACAACTTACCTGATGTCTGCTTGGAAATGTGGCTGTAGTAGGGCATAGGAGCAGGGGTGCAGTGTGTGTGTGTTTGTGTAAGAAGGACTGTGTGAGCAGTGTGTGTGTGTGTGAATGTTGCAGTGTTTACGTGAGGACGGCAGTGTGTGTTAGGGGGGCAGTGTGAGTGGGGGGCAATGTGTGTATGGGGGGAAGTTTGTGTGTGGGGGGCCAATGTGTGTGTAGGGTGTGTGTGTATTGGGGGCAGTGTATGTGGGCGCAGTAGTGTATGTGTATGGTGGGCAATGTGTGTATGGGGGCAGTGTATGTATGTGGGGCAATGTGTGTGTATGGGGGCAGTGTATGTATGTGGGGCAATGTGTGTGTATGGGGCAGTGTATGTATGTGGGGCAGTGTATGTATGTGGGGCAATGTGTGTGTATGGGGCAGTGTATGTATGTGGGGGAATGTGTGTGTATGGGGGAAGTGTATGTGTGTGTATGGGGGCAGTGTATGTGTGTGGGAGCAGTAGTGTATGTGTATGGTGGGCAATACGTGTATGGGGGCAGTGTATGTATGTGGGGCAATGTGTGTGTATGGGGCAGTGTATGTATGTATGTGGGGCAATGTGTGTGTATGGGGCAGTGTATGTATGTGGGGGCAATGTGTGTGTATGGGGCAGTGTATGTATGTAGGGGCAATGTGTGTGTATGGGGGCAGTGTATGTATGTGGGGGCAATGTGTGTGTATGGGGCAGTGTATGTATGTGGGGCAATGTGTGTGTATGGGGCAGCAATGTGTGTGTATGGGGGCAGTGTATGTATGTGGGGCTGTGTGTGTATAGGGGCAGTCTATGTATGTAGGGGGCAATGTGTGTGTGGGGGCAGTGTATGTATGTGGGGGGCAATGTGTGTGTGTGGGGGCAGTCTATGTATGTGGGGGGCAATGTGTGTGTGGGGGCAGTGTATGTGTGTGTAGGGTATGTGTGTGATAAGGATGGGGGGCTTTTTTTTTATGTGTTTTTTTTTAAATTTGATACAATTTTTTTTTTTTATTTATTTAAAATATACATAATGTCCCCCCTCCCTTCTTACCTTTGTTTAGGGAGGAAGGG